AGAGTGAGTGAGTTTGTTTTCCCAATGAGACAATGGAATATATACCATTTTAGAATCAAGGACAATTGGTTATTTATTAACTTAAAAAAAAAAAAAACTGCCTTCCTAGTTAATTTACATAAGTCTGACAGCACAACATGATTTGCACATCAGTAACTTTCAACATAAAACTGTGTTACAGCCAGTTTCTGACATGGTTTTATTTGCTTTCAACAGCTGGATTTAACTTAGTGTGAGAAACACATTAAAATAGATCAGACATCAACAGTTGCCTCCTGGAACTTTCACTTTTTTCCAATTTGAAAGTTTTTCTCTCAGCTGCAGCTTCTCTCAGTTTGCACTTCTCTTCAAAGATAAACTCTGACTCTAAAAACTGCAAAAATAAAGCTTCCCCTTCAGATCCAACCTGGACTTTGTCCACGTTCCTGGCGCAGCCCACCACCTTCATCCCGTGGCGGACCAGCTCTTTGGCTACGGCCGCCCCGATCCCGACCGAAGCTCCGGTCACCAGAGCCACTCTGCCCCTCCAGCGCTCCATCACAGCGGGACACCGGGAACCTGCTACGCAAACAGAAGAACAGGAGAGACCGGAGAGTCTGCCGGTGACGAAGCCGTGAACGCAGCACACTGGAGGCGGCGCATCATCAGCAGCTCCTTCCTCTTCCGTGTTCCTCTTCTTCTTCTACGACTCCTGCATCTTGTGGCAGACTGGACGCAGCACACGCGCTCCCCCACCGGCCACTTATAGAACTGCATCGACATATTTGAATACGATGGAGAGTTCAGGGCGGTGGAGAAACTCAATTGCAGCTTTTGTTGCTTCATAATGTTCCACGTTGAGTATAAGTGATTTGATTTATATGATAATTTTCTATGAGGAATCTCATTTGCTAGCCCAGATCTTGCATTCTCAATCGCATACTTTTAAAAAATATATGTATATTATTTTAAGTATATACTAAAGCTGCCCTCACAGAGTACATATTATTTCATACAGTGTATGTATACAATTGAGACATAGTACTTCCGTCTTTGCGATCTCAGCTGCTCAAGTTTGTTTATACTTGCCAAAACACAATGACATATCTGATGACAGAGGATTGTGAGTCAGAATAGCCAGGGAAGCATGCTGGCTCATACTGTAAAGTTTAACTTCAAATAGTAATATGACATACAGACATTTTTGGCATACTACACTTGATGTACTATGTGTTGGGACAGATTAAATCTCTTTCCACATACTATATAGTATGTAAGTATGGATATTAGAATGCACCCTTTTCCTGTTACTGTCTCTGTGTTACTGTTTTCTCCACTCCAATAAAACAACAACAAAAAAGCTCCAAGCATCGACCAACCATGCTGAAAATTTCAAGATTTGCAGGGGATCTGGATCATGCAGTCAGGCAGCCCTACGGGTTTTTCTTTCTGGTCAGCAGCGACTCTTAGACGAGTTGAGGCATTTAAATCATGATTGATTGGTATTATAAGGCCCAAAGTGTGCCCAGAAAAGATGCCTATGAAGACTCTCAGTCATCCAGGTCATGGTTATTCTCCTAGTTTGACTGAACTCAAGCAGGTCCAGTTGCTATGATTAAACTACGAGAATGTGCCCAGAAAACATTCTGGACAACACTACACTAGTAGCTGCTTGGGCACAAGGCACAAAATAATTCATGCTGCCAAAAATCATCTGCAGCCACAGTAGAAACTGATCATACAAGGATACATTTTTCTGGTCTTTGACCGTCCTGTGTTAATGAGCTGGTGCCGACTGCAGCCTCAGATTTCCTGAGATGCTTTATCTCTGATCTCTCTAATCAACAAGGCATTTCCTGCTGCTCACTGGATGTTTTTAGCTTCTCCCCTGGATAAACACCACAGACTGTTGTGATGTAACTCCAAAAGGTCAGCAGTCTCACAGTCACGCCACAGTCAAATTCACTGAGACCACATATTTCTGGTTAGTATGACTGATTGGAACATTCAGTTTCTAATAAAGTGCTCAGTGAACAGACATGACTGCCTGCTGCTCTGCACTGAAAGTCTGGTTGAAACGGTTTGAAACAGTGAACATCATCACAAACACACCATGCCCACCATGAAGCATGGTGGTGACAGCATCATGGGGTGGGGATGCTGGAAGCCCTGGAAGGCTTGCAAAGGTAGAATACAATACGTTTCATGTTACAATCCTTTTATTGTATGAAGAGCAAAATTAGAGTTTAAATGTCATGTTTAAAATGAGACCATGGTTACATGAAATCATGACTTTCATAACTGTAGTGCAGAAATCACATGAAGAGTTTGTCACATCATGCATCACTAGATTGCTGACTCCACAGGACGAATCTTAAGTTCTCCAATCTGAAAGAAAAGTAAATTGATCAAATTCTGAGTAAACTATTGGTATTCAAGTCAAAAACATAATAAAATAGGACACAGAGAAAATCAAATACCTGCACATGTGGAGGGGCACCGAGGACGTACACGACAGCCTCCGCAATGTCCACTGCAACCAGATTCTGTCAGAAGCATAAAGTGCTTAAACACATTTTTATCCTAACAATTATATCAGCAGTACTCTCAGAATGCACTAACAATATTTTTACCTTATTAGGAGCATACGCAGCTGCAGCTTTTTCTGGTTCCTTGCTGTAGGCTCGATAAGCAAATTCTGTCTCCACAAGACCAGGAGAGATACTCTGCAGGAAGAGTAAACATCAGTAACAAGCGTCTTGCATTCACTGATGATGTTAACGGTTCTAGTGGAGTAGATGACGGACTGTGGGAGATTTTAGGATCAGCTTGGTTTGAATCAAATGAAGCACAAAGCAGCCTGAATGAGGAGAAACTACTTTTTAATTGCAGACAGCCATGAAGTCTGACTGTCATGGCCCCGCAGCCTCGGCCCTCGTCTCTCTCTCTCTCTCTCTCTCTCTCTCTCTCTCTCTCTCCAGCATGCAGGCAGGTGTGCCTAATTACCAATCAGCTGATTGGTGCTTCGGGATTGGTCCGCTCCAGCTGCGACCTTTCTGTCTGCCGGTATTTCAGCCGCGGTCGGACGATGCTTCGAATCATTCACCAGTTCTGCCACCAATCACCACCACCTACACTCCACCCTTCAAGGACCTTCTTCCGCCAATCTGCCACCGGACTCCCCACTACACCTGTCTACCCCGGTTCAGCTATCCTCCGGTTCACTCCGCCGCCAGTTGTTTCTTCCCGCACTCTCCTCATATCGAGCCAGTTAAGCCGTCACCGCTCTGTCTGTTGTTTTTGCATTTCTGTATTTAGCTTGAAAACTTAGTTCGTCATAGACTTATTGTTTTTTCCCTGTTTGCCTATCTAGTTCGTTATTTCCGTCAGTCAGTGAGTACCTGTTTAGTTGTTCTAATCAGCCTGCGTTCTAGTCTGTGCTCCTTTAGTTAGTTTGGTCAGCTTCAGGGGGCGGGGCTTCGGGGGCGGGGCTTCAGGGACGGCACGCCCCCAGCCCGGGCCCCGGATACGAGGTCAGCTTTAATTGAGGCAGGCCTATATCATAGCTCAGAGTAGCAGGAGTAAGCAGACCTTCCCATGATAGAGCAGTCCAGAGTATGGTCATAGTCTACTTAATATCAAACAGCTTTATAAAGGGGTTACATTGGTTGCCCCAGTCAGGACAGAGTCATGGTTGCTAAAAACTTTACAAGACCGACTGACTTTAGTGATCTAGTAGGTGTAAAATGTTGTACTGCATGAATTGCTTTATTTTAGCTCTCACATTAAACTTTATTATGCGCAAATTTACAAGTTGATCACCGATATTGTCTCCAAGTGTATTCTGGGTAAAACTCGTCACCAACCGTCCACCAACGTCATCAGTCGCTTGTCAACAGATTGCGAACTAGGTCGAGCATTTTTACGGACTAGGTTAACATGAGTGGCACTTCATATAAGCATAAAAGTGGAGCAGTAAAACGAAAAGAAAGGGAACAGAGAGAGCAAGGAAAAGCCAAATTACAAACTGGACACATATTTTGTTCATCGTCCTGGAAATGAACCAGACTTTTTTGTTGGCAGCGATTCAGGCCCGCCAAAACTGCCAGCACAGCGAGGGAGCCAGGTTAATCCCAGGTAGCAATTCTAACAATTACTACACACAATGTGTGAGTTAGTTGTAAACTGTTGGTGGTTGTAAATTGTAGTAGCCCAGCCGCTTAGCTTATAGAATAACCGCTATCCGTGGTGCTGAACTGCTTTGAATTTGTGTTTTATTATCAGTGACCATGTAGCCTCATGTTTTTGTTGTTCTCTTGGTTATACTTCATGTCCGTTTGATGGACTTCAGAATGACATAGCCGCTCTCCGTGGTGCCGAAGCTTGTAAGCCCCGCTGTTGCGGGCATGTGCATGTTGTAAAATGATGTTATCATGAGCTTTATTATTTGGGTTTAAAGGGCCCGGTCTTTTGCCCCGCCCCCGGCCCGGCTCTGATTTGTTCCGCTAGTGGTCAGCTTATTACTCTCAGCACTTAGTCTGAGCTCCTTTGTTTGTTGGTTTGGTTAATTTCCTCTGTTTTTTAGTCTGAGCTCCCTTGGTTCTGGTTTAGTTTCCTTTTGCATACTCAGCATTGTTTCTCTGAGCTCCTTTAGTTCTTATTTTCAATCTGCCAGTTCATCTCAGCACTTAGTTGAGCTCTTTGAGTTATTTTCTTTTGTTTCTCCCTAACCAGTTTAACCTGGTGTTGGTTGAGCTTGTTGTAATTATATTGTTTTTGGTTTCTCTCTATTGTTTAAATTGTTAAACTGTTTTTGTCTACCGTGTCTCTGTTGCTCTGCACTTGAGTCTCCGCCCTGCCCGTAACACTTACTGTGGCCCTGATGTGGCTCTTGGCCTCGTGCAGCTCCTGCCTCAGGCCTTCAGTCAGGGCGGTCACTGCGTACTTGGTGGCAGCGTAGAAATGTCCATCAGCAAAGGGATATACAGAATGTCCCACCAGGCTGCAACAGAAGAACAAGTATGAGCCGTTAACCAGGTCAGCATTTACCAACATGTACTGAAGTCACTTTAAAGCCAGATTTACTGTAGCAGGTCAAAGGCTGCAACAATCAGTTGATAGTTAATGGGCAGAAATCTTCACCTGTTCAGGTTGATGATGTGCCCGTCGTCAACGTTTCTTTCTTTCATCGACTGATACGCTTCACGTGTGCAGATGGACAACCCAATAACGTTCAGCTGCAAGAAACCAAGCAAAAAGAAAACCAGGGAAGAAAATGTTCTTCATTAACACCTAGAACTCCACACTATTTTTTTTTGTGCACGAAGAAACACATTTTTATTTGCTTTAAATCAGCTTGCCTGAAAGTGTCTGTGACATTTCCATATTTATTTAAGACGTGACAATCCAACTTGCATGTTCTTGTTCAAAGATGTTTAATAAAATTAGAATTGATCATGTTTTTGACTTGTAGTAGTAAAAACACAGGTTTTATAACATTAACTAATGATCAAATGTCTCAGTACGTCATGAATTCTGATTTCTACGATAACACTGATCTCTTACATCCAGCATGTTCTTCCAGCCGCTGGTTTTGCCACTCAACAGCGGCTCTGGATGAGCCAGGCCGGCGTTGTTGATGCAAACATCCACGCCTTTGTGCTGCGCTTTGATGGCTGCAAACATGGACAGAATCTCCTCCTCTTTGGTCAGGTCACACTTGATCGGCACCAAGACACCAGTGTAGCCGGCTTTTTTACACTCAGCTGCCAGTTCCTGAGATCAGAATGAAAAAAAGATTAACTTTACAATCAACTTTGTGCTTTTAGTAACCTTCCACAAAAAAGTCTGTAGTGTTAAGTTGTGCACAACATTTGTTTTGCTGTTGTGACGTAAGGTGCCACTTTCTTTTTTAGACCAAGTTAATAATGGAAAGACTGGAAGTTCTGTGGGATTCTAAGTACAGAAACAGTTTTTCAGATGTGTGATTATGCAAGTTTAGTTTACTTATGATTCAATATTGAATCAAACTTAATGTTATAGATTTTTTCCAATGAACTTTTAATAAGAGCAGAAAGGAAGTTTAGATAAACAGCATGAAGACAGATGGTGTTATTTAATCCTAGAGGAGATAAGATGTTAGAAATGGGTTGCTGTGTCAACAATGGGAAATAATCAGACCCCTCCTTTCTCTAATGCTTACATAAGCCTGACTCAGCAAAAATAAGTCTGTATAAGAGTCACTTTAAGCATTAAAATGTAATAAAGACAGTTTATGTTATAGTTGCTTTAAATGGCTGTAGTCAATTTACCATGACAAACACATGTATGTGTCTCTAACAGCAACTTTCACTTGTTTCTCTCGTATAAAATGTTGGCTGTTTGCCAATTTATCCCCCCCAAATAAAAAACAAACAAACAAACAAAAAACACGAACTCTCTAATTTTTGTCCTGAAAAATTGTAGAAATAAAGTTTCAAACCTGGATTTTGTCCACGTTCCTGGCGCAGCCCACCACCGTCATCCCGTGGCGGACCAGCTCTTTGGCTACGGCCGCCCCGATCCCAACCGAGGCCCCGGTCACCAGAGCCACTCTGCCCTTCCAGCGCTCCATCACAGCGGGACACCGGGAACCTGTTGCACGCACACAAGAAAAGCGAAAGGAGAGTCTGACGGTCACGGAGCCGTGAACGCAGCACACTGGGGAATATCAGCAGCTCCTTCCTTGTATTTCTCTTATCTCCTACGACTCCTCCTTATTCTGAGATTTGTGCGACCTCAAACTCATTTGAACTCTACGGGACACTTAAAGGGACACTGGCAGATGTTTTATTTATTTATTTTTTAAATGTAGTTTCTCGTGCTCACGAGAAAGTTTCGCGTGCGCACGAGATCATTCCCGGTTGGTACACACTGCAGGCGCACACAATAGACCAGCAGACCGTCTGTGTCTGCTTATCTGAAAATGATAAAACAGGATTTAGTTGACCTTTACGTCAATCTTGGACTCCGTTATAAAAGATATTCACAGATTCGGACTTCCGGCATCAATGACTCTTTAACGAAACGTCATCGACACACAAATTATGCCTCTTTACCATCAGTATGAGGTGGACAATATACTACACGATCATTTTTTTAAAATCAGAAGCAGCTGTTTTTCGTGCAGCAGACATAACAGTAGTCTCTGTGTGCAGCTGGCTGTGCGACCAGAGCGCAAGGGACCGTCTGCAAATTACAACACTGCTGCTACAGCGAAGACACACTACAAACATATCTAATAACGTCACTGGTATTCACTGCAGTGTCACCAAAATCACTACAGCCGTCACTTCTCTCCTACTGATCATACTACAACACTTGGTTTCACAAAAAATACACTTTAAAAAATATTTTTAATGAATTTTTATTATTATTAGTTTCAATGACTTCACTGTACTCTACTGTACACTAGTGAAACTCTGTCCAGCCACAATAGAGGCTCTGCTACTCATACTACACCTGTTAGTTTGACAAAAAATACCTTTCATGATTTTTATTTTATTTTTATTTTATATTTTTTGCTCACGAGATAGTTTCTCGTGTGCATAACAAGCTACATTAAAAAAAAAAAAAAGAATCTGTCAATGTCCCTTTAGGGGCTCCGTAGAACTCACAGTGGCACATCTGATGTAAATGTGCAGGAGGATCGTGGGTCAGAATAGCCAGAAAAGCCCGCTGACTCACATACTGTAGTTTTTCAACTTTAAGTAGTAATTGGACAGATATTTTTTTTGGCATACTACACTTGTTGCACTGTGTGTTGGGTCTTTCTGGCATACAACATTGTCTATGGATATTGGAATGCATTTAATGTCACTGTCTGCATATTTCCTCATCTTCACTCAATGAAACAATAAAAAGCTTCAACCATGCTAAAAAAAATAAAGTTTTGCAAATGTGGCGGAGTTATGGTGGGGTTAATACATTAATAGGAGGATTTTTAAATTGACTATGTTGTTGATCACGAGGAATTTCACCCCCAGGATATTAACACCATCAGGGCAGGCAGGGAAGAGACGAAGCAAACTTAGCAAACTCGTTGCATAAAACCAAGTGACAATGAATGTGTCTAGGTAGGACTGTTGACAATGACCAAAAATGAAACCATTAAACGCCACCCCGTATTCAAGCTGCAGGTGAGTTCAATGAGGGTAAGAGAGTAGACAGAGAGGGAGAGAGCGACAACAGAGGGGGAGCTCTACCTGCTACACAAAGGATTTGGATCATGTGGTCAGTTTGTCCTGCCAGTTCGTTCCCCCAGTGGATTACCCATTTTATTCACAGCGCCCAGTGCCTCCCTGCATGCAAAGGCTCCACTGAAACAATTCCACCCTGAACTATTTTAAGGGAACACTGAAGCTGCATCCATTGCTTCGCCCCATCCACAAAAACTGTTATTAGTGTAAAGAAATACAAACAAATCAGAGCATTTTTTTCCCCAAAAAACAGAGCACTACTATGCAACCATGATGTTCATCAGAATGGGCTGGCAAGGTCACACCAAGTCAAATTCATTGAGATCACATATTTTCAGCTGCTACGATTGATGTGAACATGAACTATACCTGCATGATATTATGCTCTGTAGCCACATGATTGCTGGTTGGATAACTGCATGAATTAGCAGGTGAGCAAGTGTTTCTAATGAAGTGCTGTTTTTCATTCAAGACTTAAAATGGTAAATGGTCTGCACTTATATAATAACGTTTTTTTCTACCTTAGTGGTACTCAAAGCACAAGCACCCATTCACACATCAATGGCAACAGAGCTGCCACGCAAGGCGCTGCCTGCCATTGGGAGCAACTTCGGGTTCAGTATCTTGCCCAACTTGCCCGACTGTGGAGGGGCAGGGGATCGAACTGCCAACCTTGCGACTGGAGGACAACCCGCTCTACTACCTGAGCCACAGCCACCCAAATTCCACCTTTAAATTCTTTGTATTTAGATATTTAATATGTACCAAGCATGTTGGGCACAAAACAAACTTAGCAGAACATATGAATAATATTAATTTATTTTCATAGTGTAATATTGGACTTGTTTGTATATGCACATTTCATTTGTCTGACTCATTTTTCTTCCACCACGTTGCGAAAGATAACACCTTCCATCTACCTACCTCCAGTATTGCTGCAGCTAATCTTTGACAGCAAACATGTAAGTCTGGTTGAAACTGTTTGAAACAGTGAACATCATCACAGACACACCATGCCCACCA